GGTGGCCCGTGGGACGCCGCGGCGCCGCTCGCCGCTGCAAAAAAAAAATAAAAACATATACATCAAGGCTTCTTACCACATTTTGTAAATTTCAGTGATTCACTCTCTATATATTTGATTTTCTGGTATGTTTCATGGCTCTGTGATGGAAGTAAAGAACTATAAAAATTGCGGTAGTCAGGTGTCTTTTCCTTAAATGATATGTCATCATATCAGGCAGTTTTTGATGAACACTTGTTTAACGATGCATCAAATGGGTACTGTAGAGCTCAGAAAGGGGGACAGCTGGCCTAGAGTGTCTTGGGAAGGAGTCATTGGAGAGAAAACATTGGAACTGTTTTTGGGACGGGTTTGTTAGGGTATCAAGGAAAGAGAGTAATCTAGGTCAGGCATTCCAAAAATGAGAAGGCCCAGGCATGTATGTTCAGGGAAGAGGTAAGTAGTTGATTCTCTTTGAGTTCTGGGTTCATGTTGAGAAGACTTAAGATATGATCAGGAATAGATACTGAGGTCATATTGATGCAGATGACAAATTAGCCTTAAGATGACATTGGCAACAGTGTTTTAGGAAAACCCTTCTGTTCATGGTGTATGGGAGGGACTGGAAGAAGATGAGACGAGAAGCAGACCGTGAGAGAAACTGCATGAGTTGAACTAAGTTGGTGGCTGTCAGATGGATGGGTAGGGACAAACTAATAGTTGAGAAAGAGTGACTGATGCCCCGGGGAACTAATTCCTGCACCGGTACAAAGGTGAGGGAAGGTAGCCAAAGACCGTTCTGAAGTTTTAAACCTGGAGGCCAGGAAGAATAAGAAACCACTCACAGAAAGAAGACAGAAGGAATTACCCATTTTATGGGAAAAGGATTTAGGTCTCAGAATTTAGGGTTGATTTTATCAGAGAAATGTGTGAGTATATCAAGCGTGCAGTCACATAGTTGGAACTGGAGCTGGGAGAGAAATCGGGACTAAACCACATTATGGTAACAGAAATACGTGTGAAGGCTGCTTTGTAAGTTTGGAACCTAAGGACAAAAGAGGAGGGAGATTATAGAGAATGAGGACCAAAGCAAGATTTTGGTTAAGAAGGTAGAAATAGTATGTGTTTATCAAAAGAAGGGGAGAAGCAAGTGTATAAGAATAGATAACAAAGTAAGAGGTGATAGTTAAGAGGACTTACTGACACGGAGAAAAAGAACAGTGATGTTGAATTACCTGAGTTTTAGGATGCTCGTCAGGTAGGCCCTGATCAGTCAATATTTTACTGTACAAGACCATCCATTGATTTCTAGGACAAGAAGTACCTCAGAAGAATTACTGGTTTAGTGTATCTTCGTACTTCGGTAGAAACATATTTCTGTCATACTGATTGGTGTTAAAACCAACACTTCAGTGAAACAAGTGCCTTTGTAGACGTCTTTCTGTGATCCTATCAATTTAAAATTCTGTTCTGGTTTACTAGCCTTCTTTTGATCACAAATTCCCACAAACTTTATTAGCATCAGCGCTAGATCTACCAAGTAATTGAGTGCCAAATCTACAAAGTCATCAAGTCCCTCAGTTGAGTTGTTACTAAAGTTGAGACCCAATTTAATATTCTCCTTGACTCTTGGGCAGTTTGGATGATGTATTAGCAGAGACAGTATTTGTCAATATATTACTTTATCACTGTGCTGAATAATATTCTGGTAGCCTCGTAAACATATATAAAAAAAAGCACTGACCAATCTGTTAATATGTTTTATAGTTTCCCAGGGAAATTTCCTTTGTACAGAAAATTAAATAAGTCCATTTACTGCCACCCATAGCCACTCTCATTGGCAGTTTTTATGCTTTCAGTAAGAGTAGAGTGTCGTGGGCATGAGCCAGGCTCCGGAGTCAACTACACCAGGGTTGAAATCCTGGTCTGTTGTTCTGTAATTATAAGACCGTAGGCTAGTTTCATTTTTTTTTTCTTAAGACCATATACATAGGTTTACAGCAAAATTGAAGGGAAGGTACAGAGATTTCCCGTTAATTCCTGTACCCACATATGCATATAGGCTAGTTTCTTAAACCTCTACATCTGTTTCTTCATCCTTAAAATATAGTCACTCTAGCTTCATAGATTGGAAGGTTGAATTAGGATCGTTTTCTAAACATGTCTGATATTTGATAAATATTAAGTAATGTGTATGTGCTCATAACAGACATAATTGGCTTTAAAACTTGGGACAGCATCATGCTCACAGAGTGCTTCATAAATTCTTTTTGATGATAACGTTTAATAGGTCCTCACAACTTTATTGAATGAATAAGCAAGTGAATGAATATACATCTGCAGACAGGAAGGAATAGTTACTGAAACCTGAGTCTCTGCAGAGCTTTTATTTCAGTCATGGGTAGAATTGCTTGCTTACGTGTACTGTAACACTTGGTTATCTTAAAATTTTAAATATGGCAAGTGATTACAGAAATGAATTGATGTGCTTTAATCCCAGGTTGGATATTCTTAGGAACCATGGTGATTTCTCTTCCAGATCTGCTACTTTCTTTCACAACAGTGGGAACTTTTTAGAGCACTTGTCTTAGAAATACAACAGTTGGGGTGCCTGGCTGGCTCAGTCGGTTAAACGTCCGACTGTTGATTTTGGCTTAGGTCGTGATCTCAGGGTCATGAGATCAAGCCCTGTGTCAGGCTCCAAGCTCAGCCTGCCTGAGATTCCCTCCCTCTCCCCCTCCCACCCCTGCTTGCGCACCCCCCTTAAATAAGTAAATAAATAAAATCTTTAAAAAAAAAATACAACAGCTGATTCTAGCCCAAGCCCCATCCTCTGAGGCTGTAAAGTGGATCGATTTTATAAGCATTACCCATTGGCAGTAGTGATTTAAAAAGCTGTTGGTTTTCTTGCTTTGAAGATGAGCAGTGGCCCTAGAAATCATTTGTAGGTTAGCACCTCTTAGCCTGCAGTGGCTCATGATACCTCTTAGCAGGTTTGCTAGAGTCGCTTAATCCCCTTCACTATTGAGTGAGGGGTGTGACATGGGCTCGAGAGTGAGTCCCCCAGGGTTCATTCCTCAATCCCTAAACCACTTTCTTATCTGTAATCTGAGAATTCATTTGATCAGATGTTGTGCTTTAAATAAGGTAATACATCTAAATTAGCCCCTTGCCTACAACATAGTAAGCGCTCAGTAAATATTATGGCATTGCTGCTGATGTTGCTGTAATTGGCAGTTCCGAGGGTCATAAATGTTGATTAACTCACTTGGCACAGTACCTGGCACATAGCAGACCCTCACTAAAGATGTTCCCCTTTACCTCCAAGTTCAAATGCCTAATAACATCCTAGTCTTAGTTTTAGGTATAGATGGCAATTAGACGACTTTCTGGCTTTAATGAATCTTTCCTCAGATCTACAACTAGAAGTCTGAATACCTAGGTTCATATACTTCTGAATGTCAAGGATGAGATTTTAAAATTAGGTTTTCATCATTTTAAATTGCTTTTCTTAGTAGCATGTCATAAATATGTGTATTAAACTGCTTATCTGATTGTACAGATGCTGTTGACTGAGTACTTGGATATGAAAAATACTCGTACGGCCTCTGAACCATCAGCTCAACTAAGTTATGCCAGCACTGGACGAGATTTTGCAGCCTTCTTTGCCAAGAAGAAACCTCAAAGGCCAAAAAATTCTCTTTTTAAGTAAGTATCTCCCTGATGGTAAGATAGCAGGTGTCAAGAAGTGTTTGATCCAAGTAGGATGGCTTTCTACTTTATTGACAGCCGGTACTTCACCCAGTTAAAGCTGATTTGAAAAAATTTATAGGAAGTGAATATATTTTTTATTTTGTATACATTTGTTTTCTGGAAGGGGAAGTGGCTATTTTGGATTACAGTTAATGGACTATCTAGGAGTTTTAATAAACATTTTTAGAATTTATTCCTGTGGTGTTTTATATAAAATGAGGGAAATGAAACTTGCCAGTTGTTTCTGGGGACTTCTATATGAAATGAAATATGTCAGCTTTTGAAGAAACCCCAAGTGCCAAGAAATAACCTTGAAGTTTACACAAATCTCCTTAGCTAAGTAGCATTGGATTTTATTTGGTTTAATAAAGGAACAGTCTGGAAGTTCTTTTTTTCTAATTACCATCTTACTTGACAGCACCAGGCCATGTTCCTAAGTGTATGTCATTTGGTAACAGCTAACAGTTAATATTATTCACATTAATAGTGACAACAGCAATAGCTACCACTGAGTGCTTACTAAGTACCAGGTACTGTGGGGAGATGAGTTTCTCAAAATGACCTCAAACATAATTTAATTCAGATTATGTCTGATTTCGGCAGCAGGAGTAGCGGCTAATGCTGAATCCTCTCTAAGTACTAGCGAAAGCATGAAGCCATTTTCATGGATTGTCTCATTTACTCATTACAACCTTATGGGTCGGGGTTTTATTTTTAATCCTTTTTTGCACATAAAAACTTGAGACCCAAGCGAGGTTAAGTAACTTAAGTAAATTCACAGAGCTAGCAACTGGTAGAAGCAGGATTTAAGTCTTTGTCAATCGATGTGTTCTTCTGAGGAGTCGGGAGATAACTGGTTAAGCAGTTGTACCTGTAAATCTAAGCATATAAAGTGACTACAGAAGTATTGTCTCTGTATTTTGAATTTGTTATTTTTGAATAGTTGAAGCTCCAGTATCTTTTACTGATTCATTTTTGAGATTTGTTTATATCATAGATTTATAGAGTTCTTAGTCATTACGGAAAGTTTCAACAGTGCATTCATCTTGTGGTCTAGAGGAGAGGAGATTGAGTGTGCCTGCATTAGAATAAAATGCATTCTGTGTATTGAATGCATTCTTTTTTTATGTGTTTTACCATTTTGTTCAGAGGATAGACGCACTATTAGTTAAAATGCTTTAGTCCCCAGGTAACATAGGACCCCATTGGAAGGTTCTTACCTCACACAGTAAGGAGGAACATAGAGGAGTCCGTCATTCGACTGCAGTATCCTCCAGGACCCAACCCTTTCATCTCTCTGCCTTCGGTCCCACTCCAGTATAGTGGTGATGCCAAGGAAAGGGTGGGATTCTTCTGCAAATTTTTTGGGGGGGAATTAATAGACTCTTTTTCATACCACTTTTCAATTTACAGAAAAATCAAGCAGGCAAGATAAAGAGATCTCTTATGTCCTCCTTCCTCAGAATTTCTACTTACGTTAACACCTTGCGTTCGTTCGTATGGTACATTTGTTACAACTGATGAACTGATATTGGTCATTATTAACTAAAGTCCATTCATTGTTTACCTTAGAGTTCACTCTTTGTGTTGTACATTCTGGGCGTCTTGGTAAATGCTCACTGTCATATATGCACCATCACGTTATCATACAGAATATTTTTGCTGTCCTCAACATCCTGTTTTCCACTTATTCTTCCCTCTTTTCCCCACCCCCGGAGCCCCTGATAATCACTGCCTCTATAGTTTATCTTTTCCAGAACATCTAACAGTTGGAATCATACAGTATGTAGCCTTTTCAGACGAGCTTCTTTCACTTAGCAATATGCATTTCATGTCTTTTGTGGCTTGATAGCTCATCTCTTTGTATTGTTAAATAATATTCCATTGTGTGCATGTACCTTGGTTTTTTTCCATTCATCTGTTGAAAGACATCTTGGTTACTTCCAGTTTCTGGCCATTGTGAATAAAACTGCTGTAAACGTGCAGGTGTTTAGATGTAAGTTTTCTGTTCATTTGAATAAACACCTAAGAGAATGATTACTGCATCATATGGTAGGGTCATGTTTAGCTTTGTGAGACACTGCCAAACTGTCTTACAAAATGGCTATATCATTTCAGATTGGTTTTTTAATTCATAATTGTTATCCATTTATTAATCTTTTCTGCCAGTGACAAAGCCCCTCTGCAAGTTTTCCTCAGGTTTTAGGATTGGGTCTTATGCCCATTCCTAAACCAGTCACTGGCAGACCACAGTGATTGTCTTAAAACAGTCAGGGGTCATCTCTGGTGATAGTCTTGGGCTAGAGAGGAACCACTTTCCTTAGCACATAGCTGTTTGAAGAGGGAGGAAAGAAGCCGAATGCCCAGATAGAATGGGAGCTCTGCCAGCAAACAGGGAAGATAGTGGAAGAAAAAAGGTGGTTAACTAAGATGGCCTGAGATGCTGCCTGATACTTAGGCCTTTGCTTTGCTTGCTTGTTTGCTTGCTTGCTCTCTGGCATGCTTTCTCTTCTCTCTCTCTTTCTCTTCCTAGCTCAACTCACTGTTGTAAATCAAGGCGTATTGCAGAAAGCAGGTTTCAGTGTGTTGAGATTTCATGCTCTCAACCATCACCCTTAACTTTCAACCTCAGACCACATATACATTTTTCCACATTTAGCCATTCCTGAAATTGTGATCCTGAAAAACATATAAATTATTAGAACTGAATAAATGAAGTAATTGTTAAACATTTATTATTACTGCGTAGTAATAAAAACTCATCACCCACACAGAATTAGACCATTCTTACAGATCTGCCTGCTTCTGGTCTTGGTTGTACCATTAATGAACCGTGTGAACCAGAGCAGGTCTCCTGTCATAGTGGGCCTCTGTGCCTTTAGCTATAAAATAAGGAGGCGAGACCATATCATCTTTAGTGCCTCTTTTACTGTAAAATTATAGCAATCTGTGAGTTGTGGCAAACATACAGAGGGTTCCTGAGTAGCAAAAATACATCAGGTCATAAAGGATTAAGATTTGGGTGAGCTGTAATCTGTTTTTATGACACCCGTGAAGGACTTCATTACTCTCTTTAATTGCCCCTAGCCAAGGTTAATTAAGTGTGTTTAAGTTCTCTCTATTCTTCGCTCAAGAGTTTCTTTCTTTTTCCCTTGCCATTTCTGATCAATAGCTGTCAGCATGCTTTTTGGAGGTCAGCAGCTTCTTTCCTGCACTGGACTGGCAGGTGGCGCTTTTGAAGGACTGCGTACTTTGCCTTCCTTCTGGCTGTGAGGGCCCTCTCAGTTCTTGGCAGGGGGTAGAGAGAGGATCAAGAAACCCAAGTGTCTCCCTCTGACTAACATTCATCTTCCTTGTCAAAGAATGGAGAAAGAAGGCGTAATTAAGAAAGTGGTGGCGTTCCTTTTTTGGTGCCAGAAACCTAAGCATTATCACTGTTGTTCTTTCGTGATGTTGCTGTTTACCACTTAGTGGAAATCATTCTTAGGAGGATTCCTCCTGTCAGCCTGTTCCTCTGACTTTGAAAACCACAGGTCTGAAATGGAATTTCTTAACACGTCAAAGGATTTACTGTTGATATGGTCTTCAATTTACCTGGCCCGTCCCCCCGACCCCCCTGCCGCCCTTCCCTGCAAGTTTCTCTTAAGACTGTGATTTATTTTCTTTTGTTTTTTTCATTCTTGAGTTCTTGTTTTCACCTTTAGAAACCTGTTCTATATCATGTGCCTGTCCTCCATGTTGCTGACCTCTGAAGCGATTCCTGGGGTGGGGTGAACACACACTTTGTCGCCTGATAGTTTTGAGAGTATTTCATGTTGTAGGTGGCAGATCAGAAACCGTTTAGAAATTGTAATGCTTTTGAGGACTTTTAAGGGGAGACCATAGATGCCTTGCTGCTTTGGTGTATTCAGCAGCATTGCTAGCATGCCTTCTGTGCTAGTTCCCTAACCAGGGGAGTTAGAGAAGCAAGATGTCCGCCCTGCGGAGCTGGGATTTCTGGGGTGCCTCGTGAACTGGATAGTTGTACAATTCGAATGACTCTGTAGGATACCCTTATTGCGTGTGCGCAGGAATCTTGGCAAAGGGTCTGGAGGCAGAAGAAAGTGCAACAGATGAGAGTTATGTCAGCTGAAATGAAGAAGGAGCAAATGATCCGAAGGCTATTGTGGAGGAGCATTAACCAGGAATATTGTTCATAAATCAAGTCTGGGGCAGCCTGCTTTGGCCCTGTCATGGAAGAGCCAGGATGTTTGGGTCATGGAACATTAGGGAGCACGCCACAGACTAGGGTGGCATAGTTTTGGAATACATGGCTGGACACCGCCTATTGGGTGACTGCCTTTTGGTTTATTCTGCATTTCATTTCAGGTTTGAGTCCTCCTCCCATGCCATCAGTATGAGTGCCTATTTGCGAGAGCAGAGGCGGGAGCTGTACAGTCGCAGTGGAGAACTTCAAGGTAGGTGATTGAACTTCTCTGGAAAAATGAGTTTCTGGAGGAAGATCTGAAGTATTTGGCGCATGTGAATTTGCAGTTTGCCTTCACAGGATTCTTTCAAGATAGCAAAGATTTAAAGACTTGATAATCTGTTTCTTCTGTACTTCCCAGCGTCTGCTGCCAAACAGCTAAAACTATTGCCATGGCCACAGGGTTTATAGACCTGCTACCATTCACATGAGAACTCAGAGCAAAAAGATAGGAGGCCAGTCTCTTCATGCTTACACATGGCAGACACGAGTCCAGTCACAGTCTCAGGGAACGCCAGTCTTCTGTGGCTGTCACCGTTACACTTAGTGCTTTCCATACCTTCTGGAACATAGCAGGAGTATGTGGGATTGGGAAAAGGGCAAACGCAGCCTCTGTCGTTATTTAAAAGGAAGAAAGATGCCTCTAAGTGGGATGTTGTAATCAAGCTAGCTTTGATATACAGGATATTTGATGCCCATATGTGGTTACTAAAGAGTTGTAAACTGTAGAAGAAAATACTTGAGAAAATAAATCGTAAGCAAATTTAATTAAATTAAAAATCCAGTAACATTTTCTTCTGTGACAAGAAGGATGCTAATCATAGTAAATGCAATCAATTAAGAAAGATTTATGAAGTCCTGCTAAGTGCCTGCCATCATTGGAGGGGATGGAGGTTGAGTAGAAGGAAAGAAAAAGCCTTACGATCCAACTATGAAAGTAAGGCATGAATATCAGTAATGTTATCGGGAAGTCAGTGCTAACAACTAAGAAGATGGTGTGCATGAAAATGCTCGAGGAGTTGAGAGAAGGGAGTGATGATTTAAATTATTTTAAAACTGTGGGCTTCCTGTATGAGGGATGCATAAGAACACTTCCATTTTGGGGAGATGCCTTAGAGGCACTTGAAATATTTTTCAGTGAGTAGCCTACACAATTAAATATTTTAGTTTTCAAGATTTATCATGGTTCAAAACATTATAAAGTAACCAGCCAGCCTTTCTGATTTAAGGACTACCACCTAGTCATTTCTACCTCCACCTTCATCATTAATCTAAATACCTGTAAATTTTTCCAAAGAAGCTGCTCTCTCATGCCTGTATCACAACAATAATTCCACAGCTCGCGGGTATAGTTACCAGAATGAAAAGTCTAGCAATATATTTGAGGATATAAGGAAAAGGAAATTAGCCTACCAACATTTTATTTAGTAGTAGTGTTGCTCTACATTGTTGGAAGCATGAAGTATGCATCTTGGAGTCCCAAAGTACATGGGTACAGGGGGTAGTTAGGATTGGAACAAGTCAAGGAGGGAACGCAGAAGGTGACCCAGGCTCTAGCAAGCAGCTGCCTCGTGGTAGTATAGAGTGGACTGAGAAGCTTGGAAGGAAATGGTGGTAACAGAGCACACATTCCCATAGGACTGATCATACCTGAACTGCCACTCAGGGGCTGTTGCTGATCATTTAGGGCTAGAGCGATCCTCCGTACTCAGTATCCTTACTTTAATTGCAGAATTGACTTAAAGAAACTTTAAATTTACCTCCATAATTTCTCTCCATTTGGTTTGTAGTACATGTAATTCCTTTAATTGGGGACAAAGCAAGCCTTTCTTTTTTTCTTTTAGATCATTTCACTTTTTATTCATCAAATACACTTAATTCTTTAGCACCGTTTTAGGCTCACAGCAAAGATGAGTGGAGAAAGGGCAGAGACTTCCTGCATACCCCCTGCTCTGACACACGCACAGACCCCCTTCATATCAACATCCTCACCACAAGGAAGCCTTTTGTTTGACTCGTAGAGATGAAAAGGTAGACCACATAATTAACAGGACAGCAGTGCAACCTGTCATTCATTCAGCTTTGAGCATAATTAGTCAACCAAGACAGACGACTAGTGGTAGACTCTTTCTTCTTTTTTGTTAGTGAGAATAGCGAGTGCTCTGCACTCTCAGCCATGCAGAATGGCTTTTCCGGCCGTGGCCCTGGTGGTCCACGATCTCTGGAGAGAGCCTGAAAAAAAGCAATGAAGAGGAGACGGTTCTGGGCCCAGATTACAATCTAGCTCCCCATTGACTAGTTTTGTAACCTCTGTGCCTCGGTTTCCTTATCCCTAAATGGAGACAGAAATAACAGTACCCACCCCACCCCACGAGGTTGTTGTGAAAGCCATGTTGAGGTAAGCGATGAGCAGTGTTTAGAGAAGTGCCGACCGAATAGGAAGCGTTATGTCGTCTTCCTTCTCCAGCCCCGTTGTTCTTGCTCAGTCCTAGCACTTCAGCTTTTGTACTCCTTCTCTGCCCTTTAGCTAAATCCTACTCTGCTTTCCAACTTAAATTTAGTTGTCACTTAGTCTGGTGACTGTTCCCCCCCATTTTCCCTCTCAGATTGTGGCCCCTGCGGTGTTCTCCTACCGCATCTGTAACATTCCCATTCTGAGCACTTTCCACACTGTGTTGCGGATCAGTGCTCACTTGTTTGAGCCTACCATGAAACTCTAAGTTCAGGAGAGAAATACAATTTTATTTCCTATCATTAGCACAGTGCCTGGTATGGTAAATATTCAATAAATACTGACTGACTCAGCGACAGAACAAATGAGGACAGTTGACATCAAACATGGGATAGAGGGCTTACCGTGGAGAGATAGGAAGGGCCCCAAAGGGAGATGTGGTCACTGAGAGCCAGTATTGGCTTTGTAGGTTCTATTAGTTTCTAAGTTGGGGAGAAGTAGAGGCTGCGTGTAGATCTGTGTTTGTTCTCTGCAGTCATATGTAGTTTCATTAAGTAGGAATGTTGCCACTGAGCTGTCTGGCCTAGGACAGGACTGCTGTATATAATTGAAAGACATGTGTAAATCCAACTACGTTATGGAGGAAGTTCATTCTGTGAGGGTGGTTAATTGAAGAATCTCTATAATCTAACTAGGAACCTTCTCGTTTTTCGGAAAGTTAATTGAAATACGGAACCAAATGCGATAGTATATTTTACTTACCAGTGTTCAGCAAAATAGGAGGATTTATCTCTGGTTACAGGGAAGAAAGTAGTCAGCAAACCTATCATGTTCATAATACTCATTAAAAAATAATTTAGCTGAGCTGACAGATCACATGCATGGTGAGAGAATAGCTCAGCTGATGAGTTTTTGTAAAAGTTTGATGGTATTTCATTGAGGAGCAAAAGTGTCTCTGATGAATGCTTTTAACAGTTCAGCAGGAAAAGGGGAAAATCACACCTATTTTAATACCATTAAAAAATGGCCAGCCTTTTTCAGTTACTCTATTCATCTGACTTGTCCAAGGACCACAGTGAGATCTGCATTTCAGTTTATCCTTGAAAAGGTATAATTGAATAGTTCAGTCAAATCCTAAGAGGCTGGCAGAAGAAGCCATATAGCTGCGAGCTTCGCTTCCCAGTGGTTTGGTTCAGAGGTCAACTTTTCCTTCTGTGGCAAAGAAAATCCACCAGAAAGACCATCAAAGTAACAGTAAAAAGCTCAAATTTTATAAAAGTTAAGTTTCTGCCACATTTTCTTTTTTTTTTTTAAAGATTTTATTTATTTATTTATTTGAGAGAAAGAATGAGAGAGAGAGAGCAGGAGAGGGGGGAGGGTCAGAGGGAGAAGCAGACTCCCTGCCGAGCAGGGAGCCCAATGCGGGACTCGATCCCGGGACTCCAGGATCATGACCTGAGCCGAAGGCAGTC